GAAGATGACCAGAGGTCATACGAAGGTGAAGATAAGAGTAAGAACAGCATGTTTGAGAGAGTAGCATCTGGTAAGGGACACAGATTGGGGGCAGAAAACAGAATTTCATAGATGGATATTTTGGAGATGAGTAGTTTGAGTAATTATTAGATCTAAGGTGTTCTCTTATCTGCGGGTGGCTTGATGGAATAGAGATAAGGACAATATATTTGAGAAGTTCTGGAATTATAAAACTTTGATTTATCAAGTCAAAGAAATTATAAATGAAAAGAAAAATAATCTTTGCTCTCACTGTATGCTCCTGTTCATTAACAAGAAGGTTTTTCAGTCACCGTTTTTATAAATTTTTTTAAATAACATCTTAATGAAAAAATATGCCATATTTAAATCCTTTCCTTTATTTCTGGAAAGAAAATGAAAGGATAAAATTCCCAATCTGCCTTAGTGAGAAACTGTTAATACTAAGTAAAGAGCATATTAGTGTCTGACAAGTTCCATAGCAATATACATTATTATTTTAGTTTCTTTTCTTAAATGAATTTTTGAATGTGTTGGCCAAATCATGGGATAAAGAGTTGCAATTTTGTTTTGAAATACTTTAGAAATGCATAGTTGTATTGCAGTTGTGAATCTCCTTAGATTTTTAAGGAGGCTGCTTCAAAGGATGTCATTAATAATCTCCTCAGGTGCTTACAAAGCATGTGTCTGTCAGCAGAATTAGAGACTCACCCAACTAAAGAACAGGTTTCACAATACCCTGAGACCTATTTTGTTCATTAGAGAGGAAAATGGCTTGTTTTGAGTCTAAATTGACATGCTTGCTAATTTCAGCAGTAAAAGCTATTCATTGTGGTCACGTTTAATTTAGAGCCTGGTAAGGTTAAGATTAAAGTTGATCAAGTTACTTTTACAAAATACTTCTTAAATGAGCTTTGAAATCCTAAAAAAAGGGGGAAAAGTATAAAAAAATTGAGTAATGTGTCTAAAAGTGAGAAGCAAAGAATAATATGATTGTTTGAGGGTGAATTAATATTAAATCGAAGAAAAATAACCTAATAAAGGTGATCTTTGTTATATACAAATTTCCAAGTATTAAAAAACACAGTTTTTCATTTCAGTTACATGTCATACCTAATACTTTTGTTCACTGCTACATGCATAGCACCTAGAATGGCACCTAGCACTTGAAAAGTATTTATTAAAATGAATTAGTAAATGAGTGAAAAAACTGTTTATTTTGTTAGCTATGTGTATTTAAAGTTCTTTATTAAATTTGAGGTGGAAATATGACTTTATCTGAAGTTTCTGGATAAGTTTATTTTTAAAAATCTATTGGATATAATTAGACATTTTAGAGTAGGCAATTCCAAAGCAACCTTTCAGCTTGCTATGCCACAGATGATCAGAATTTAACATTCTAACCCTAGAAAACATCTTATTTCATAAAATCTGTCACTATATATGATTCCTACTTAAAATTTGTTCAGTACTCTCCAACTGACTTACGCCACTTACTTCAATAGCTGTCTTTGGCGATTTGTTCCATCTTTCAAACACCCTTTTGTGTAAAGAAACCATAAAAGTTAGAAACCTGAAAATTGGATTTTTCTTCTGAGCAATCACAGCTTACAAATGTGGAAAATTTGGTAAAAGTTAGCCCCTCCAATTTTTCAATACAGAGAGGGGAAAGTACTCAAAATATATGCACAATGTTTGGATAAGTTTTTTCCATTATTTTAATATTACCAAATGGATTGAGTTTAAATTACAAAGCCTATCTCGCTACCTCTTCACAAAAGAAACACTACAGAATGATCAAACTTTGTCCTTTCCAAAACCAAAAACCCTATAAAGATAAACAGGAATCCAAGGACATAGTAGATAACTAAATTTCCTACACATTATTATCTACCACATTTCATCTCTTCACTTTTCTTGGCCTCGTGTGATAGTAGAAAGATCATCATATTTCAAGATCTAGAAAAAATAATTCCACACTTCATAATGAACCGGAGAAGACCCCATATAGCAAAAGCGATCTTAAGCAAAAAGAATAAATTGGGAGGCATCAATTTACCAGACTTCAAGCTATACTACCAGGCTATAGTAACTAAAACAGCATGATAGTGGTGCAAGAACAGGGACATAGACCAATGGACAAGAACTGAGAACCCAGATATAAAATCATCATCATATAGCCATCTAATCTTTGACAAAGAAGACAAAAACGTACACTGGGGAAAAGAATCCTTATTCAATAAATGGTGTTGGGAAAATTGGATAGCCACATGTAGAAGACTGAAACGGGATCTGCACCTTTCACCTCTCACAAAAATCAACCACAGTGTATAACAGACTTAAACGTAAGACATGAAACTATAAGAATTGTAGAAGAAAATGTTCAAAAAACTCTTACAGACATTGGCCTAGGCTGAGAATTTATAAAGAAGGCCCCAAAGGCAATAACAAAAATAAATAAATGGGGCCTGATCAAATTAAAAAGCTTCTGCACAGCCAAGGAAACTATCAGGAGAATAAACAGACAACCCTACAGAATGGGAGAAAATATTCACATGCTACACATCTGATAAAGGGCTGATAACTAGAATCTATATAGAACTCAGGAAAGTCAGCAGGAAAAAAATCAAACAACCCTATGAAAAGGTGGGCAAAGGACATGAACAGAAACTTTTCAAAAGAAGACGGACTAATGGCCAACAAACATGAAAAAAGGCTCAACAGTTCCAATCATCAGGGAAATGCAAATCAAAACCACAATGAGATATCACTTATCTCCAGTGAGAATGGCTTTTATCAAAAAGTCCCAAAACAATAAATGTTGGTGTAGATGTGGAGAGATAGGAACACTCATACACTCCTGGTGGGACTGCAAACTAGTACCACCTCTGTGGAAAGTAAAATGGAGATACCTCAAAGAACTACAAGTAGAACTACCATTTGATCCAGCAATCCCATTACTCGGCATCTACCCAAAAGAACAAAAAACATTCTGTAAAAAAGACATCTGCACTTGAATGTTTATTGCAGCACAATTCACAATTGCAAAGATGTGGAAACAACCCAAGTGCCCATCAATACATGA